CATATATATATATATATATATATATATATATATAGTTATTTATTTTAGGCTGGTGAGCCATGCAACTGACACACTTGATTTTGGATGTATTTTGGTCTGTTAGAAGAAACCACCTCCCAAAATTTTAAAGAAAGAAAAAAAATATGTATATATATATATCACACAAAAATAAGGATAAACACGATAAAGGGATGGAATTTGAGTCTAAAGATGAAAATTTAAAAAAGATTCTAAAAAAGAAATTGATAAGATAAGAAGTTGGTTGAAAGAAGAAAAGAAAAAAAGAGGAAAGCCTGGAGACTAGAACAAAGCCATGCACTAGATTTAGGGTATATTTTGATCTCTTAGAAGAAACTGTATCCCAAAATTTTAAAGAAAGGGAAACCTATATGTATACAAAAAATAAGGTTAAATACAATGAAGGGATAGAATATGACTATAGCAATGAAAATTTAAGAAGATTTTTATTTTTTCTATTTTATTTTTTAAAAAGATTTTATTTATTTATTTGACAGATCACAAGTAGGCAGAGAGGCAGGCAGAGAGAGAGGGGAAGCAGGCTTCCTGCTGAGCAGAGAGCCCAATGCAGGGCTCGATCCCAGGACCCTGGGATCATGACCTGAGCTGAAGGCAGAGGCTTTAACCCACTGAGCCACCCAGGCGCCCCTTAAGAAGATTTTTTAAAAGGTGTTGATAAGATAAAATAGCTTAAAAATGTTGAAATAAGAAAGAGGAAAATTTTTTAAAAATAAAATAAGAAAAAAGTAAATTAAAAAAATTTAACTTTAAAAGACTAAAGAATCATGGGGGAAAAGCCATGAATTCTGTGTTTCTTTCCCCTAGCTCTGGAGTTCTACAGTTCTCATTGGTTGGTGAAGTTGATCTTGGCTGGATGTTCTTGCTGATCTTCTGGGGGAGGGGCCTTTTGCCGTGATTCTCAAATGTCTTTGCTGTAGTGGCCTACTTAGCCGGAGCGACTCCATCTCAGTTAAACAGCCATTTTTTTGTTTGTGCCGTAAAACTTAAACTGACCCTCCCCCTCCCCCACCAGTGAAACTTTCTTAAAAGCAAGTCTGGGAAACCAGTAAAATATTGTTGACCAGTTCCTGATAACAGAACCCAAATACAAGGACAGGTCAGGTCAGGTGGAGATAACAGAGCCCAGAATACAAGGACGAATCAGGCCAGGTGGAGACAATCTCTTTGGCCAGGCTCAACCACATGGCCTTTGCTCTATAAAAGTTAGTCTGTGAAGGTGGGGGTGGTCTCTCTCTCTCTGTAAGAGACAGCCCCGGCTGGTTGGTTTGATTCTTGGTGCTGGCGTGAAATAAAGCTTTGCTTGACCTTCGCTTTGTATCAGTCTCGCTCGTTTGATCACAGACCCCATCATTTGCCTGAGGCGGAATTGCACCACCATTGCCTGGGGCCAGGCTAAGTAATCTGCTTGGGTTCCCTTTCCGGAGCTTTTGTTTACTGAACACTTTCCCTACATCTTTGGAGGATGGGAATGAAAATGGTGGCCTCCCAGTCTTCGGCCCAGAGGAGCCAAGAGCTCGGACCCCACTCCTCAGTGCGCCCTCAGAGAAAAGCAGTCAATCACTCCCATCTGCCTGGTCTCCGGCTGCACTCAGTGCTTACCCAGCCTGTGACCGAGTGTTTCTGTCTCTGGTTCATGGACCCGTTTGGAGTCTCCAAACCCAGCTGATTCCCATGCTGCTCCTCCTGGAGGAGGAAGGTGATTCTCCCTGGATCTGCTGCTTGTGGGATCCCTGTTTAAAGAGCCATGGCCTGACTGTGCCTTGGATCACAGTTTAAGGTTACCCTGAGCTGAGAACTCCCTTCTCTGCTCCATCTCTGCAGCTGGCTTCCCTGCTCCGATACCTGAGAGCTCTGCCATACTCAGACACCCCCTGTCTTTTTGTGACTCCGTAGGTCCTGAGACTACACCGTCCCTGCTTAGCTTCTGGAGCGATGTCCTTCCATGAGCAGACTTCTAAAAGTTCCGATTTTGTGTTCTGCTGCTCTACTGCTTGCTGGGAGCTGGCTCCCTCCTTCCCCACCCCATGTTTCTTTTCCCTCTCTCACCTTGAATTCACTTCTCTGCACATCCTACCTTCCAGAAAGTGGTTGATTTTCTGTTTCTGGAATTGCTGCTCTTCTTCTCCTGTTGAGTTTGTAGGTGTTCAGAATGGTTTGATAACGATCTAGCTGAATTCCTGGGACCTGGTGATATTTAGGTCTCCTATTCCTCCGTCATCTTGTTCCTCCTAGATTTGGAATTTTTAACTGCTGTGCCTTCTTCAGGGGAATCACATATGACCTTGGAACAGTATGAAGTGAAACAAAAAGAGTAGTCCTTCTGAACCACCAAGGCTATTTCATTTATTTGGATTTTCCAATAGCAGAAAGTGTAACTTTGGAAAACCAATGCACTCAAATAATCCTGAAGATGTATATAATACACCTTTCCATCTCCAGGCTTCCTGTAATGCAATCTTAGTATGTTTAGAAATAATGGTGTTTGGAAGTTTTCTGACAAATTATTCCCCCTAGGGTAAAACAGGTCAAATATTAAGTATCTCTTAGGTTCTGTGGTCTAGCTAATGATCAGTGAGTAGAATACACATCGGCTCAGGATTTTTATGCCTAGAATCGATGGGCATATTACTTAACCTCTTGAGAGAGAATGTTCGTGAGGTGCCTAACAGTACCTAGAACATAGTAACCATTAGATCATAAAGAGTTAAGTAAAAATAGGTTTTTGAGGTGTGTGTGTTGTGTGTGTGTGTTTGTGTGTACTATGATTGTAGAATTTCAGAGGACGAGGTTAAGACTGTTTTGAATGATTCCTGTGTCCAAAAATATTTCCTTTATATTATTTTTTACTTTTATCCAAAAGTAGCCTTACTTTGATGTGATCTAAGACAGATATGCAAATAGTTTTCAGGGAAATATATTTGTTTTGATTTTTCCAAATTTGGAGTTCTGGGATTTCCTATGAATTCCTTCACTATGTGATAATGGTATGTGTCTTTAGGAAATTATTTCTCCTACCTTTCAGTATTGCCTTATGGTTTTCAGACTATTACAATTCCTAATTAGTTTTTCTCCATGAAGTTGGATCATTTTTCCCAAGGATCAGTAAAGAATCTGGGAACATTAATCTGAGTCCAGGGAGGCAGTTTTTTCCAAGATTAAAGGGCCAGTGTTTGACTGGGATAGAACGGACTGAACTTAGGGTTTTTAGTAATTGGTGTGACAATTCTTCCTTCTGCAGAGAAGAAGCCAAGGGGCTTTTTAGAACAAAGAGTAACCTCTATGACCAAGAGCGCTGGTTCTCAGTATGTGGTTGAGAACCCACTGAGGTCCCCAAGACCTTTCAGGAGGTCCACAAGCTTTGAGATCCTCCTTTCCCCCAATAGATTTATGTGATGCCAGATTTTCTTTAAATACTTTAACCAAAACAATATGTTACAACAAATTAAATGTAGTAGCGATAGGAGAAGCCAGCTGACTTCTATCAAATGTACACATTAAAAGAAACTTTAAAAATGTAAAGTAAAGCCACTATTCTCTGTTTAATTTTTAAGTTTTGGAAAATAATCATGATTTTTCACAAAAATTTTGTGTTTATGTTTAAACATGCGGTGGATTTATTACTATTTGAAGTGAATTAGTGATACATATTTTTAAATTTTCTCAACCTTTATATTTAATACAGGTACATACCAATAGATATAATCCACATAAACAAAAGCTTTTAAAGGTTCTCAGTAACTATTAAAAGTGTGAAGGGGTCCTGAGGCTAAAATTTGAGAATCATTGTTCCAGAGATTTTGGCTTCTAGTACCAAGTTTGGAACATTAATAAGTAGCTACTGGTTCTCAGAATTCAGCTTTTAAAGTATACAATTCTTACCATATTACAGTGTGTAAAAAAATATGAAGGGGAAACTCCCTTATTTTCTTCCCCAAGAAACGAAAGGATCTCACAGAATCTGAGTACTGCCTCTCTCTCTAACTAGATGTGCTCATCATTCAAATGGCTCTACTGGGCTAGTTAATAGGTTGGGGAGTCCTCTTCTGAAAGTCACTGTTGGATCTGTTACTTAGGGTCAGGGAATGTGAGAGGTGTTGAGCATGTGGGGTAGAGATAATCCTCTCTCATTAACACATTTAACACTTGTATTTGTTGTCAAACCAGAACTTTAGGAAATATACAGACTCTCAGGGTCCTTTAGGAAAATATAGGAATTTAGGAAATATACAGACTCTCAGGGTCCAAAATCCAAGCCAGATAAGTTTTGGGGGAAGGGGTAGGAGTAGAGCTGCAAGGCCTCCTGGGGTCCCCTGTGGGAGGCATGCTGGGATTCATGAGTGGGAGGGTGAAGAAAGGACCGAAGTCTCCCCTTGTCTCTTCCATCCTTCTGCACTGTCCTGGCCATGGGTAAAAGAGTGATGAGAATGAATGAGAAAATTAAAAAGAGGGAGAATAATTAGGATAAAAGGAGACAGTGGAGATGGTGCAGGGGAAGGAGGTGCTATCACTCTATCAAAAAGCCTCTCTGTTCTCCATTCTGAAGCTGTTAGCTCTCTAAGACCTGGAACCAACCAAAGGCCATGACACTCCAGGAGACACCCTTGGCTCTTGGTCCTGGGAAGGCTTATCACATGATGTTTGTTGCTCGAAATCTGATTTCTTGAAGGTACAGACTTTAAGAGGCTCTGGAAGTTGGTTAAAAATCAAGGGTATAATGATTAAGAAGTGACCAAATTACTGAATAGATCTGGAGGAGAAAGAAAAGTGATTATTTGGTTTTGAACATGGTAAGCTTGAGAGCCTGCGCCCAGATAGAGTTGTCTAATGGGCAGTTAGAAACAGAGTCTGGATCTTAGGAGAGGGTGGCTAGATGTTGCCTTCGGATCAGCATCATACAAAGATGGTCAAGGTTGCAGGTAGATGTGGTGACTTGAATAACTGTATCTCCTTTGCTTTATCAGCTTTTCCATGTGGCCTATCTTATCATCAAATTTGCAAATTCTCCTCGCCCTGATCTTTGGGTCTTGGAAAGATCAGTAGACTTTGGAAGCACCTACTCACCCTGGCAATATTTTGCTCGTAAGTAATCTTGCTTACTGTGTTATGTAGGGTGTTAATTATTTGCAACAGATCAACACTGGATTTAACTGGAAAAATGAGTCTCTTGGTTTGGCTAATTAAGGACTGGCCAGTTTGTTTGCTTTTTTTTCTTTTTATTTAGAATTTTTATTGTGGTAAAATAGACCTAACATAAAATTTACCATTTTAACAATTTTCAAGTGTGCATCTAAGCCTTAATTAAGTCTATTCACAATGTTGTACAACCATCACCACCATCCATTTCCAGAACTTTTTCTTCTTCCCCAACTGAAATTTTGTACTCTTTAAATGATAACTCCTCTTTACTTCCTCCCTTAGTTGCTGGTAACCACTGTTCTACTTTCTGTCTTTATAAAATTGAGTATTCTAGGTATCTAATATAAATGGAATCATATAATATTTGTCTTTTTGTGTCTGGCTTATTTCATCTGGTATAATTTCTTCAAGGTTCATCCATGTTGTAGCATGCAATTTCATTGTTTTTTTTTTTTGCATGTATATACCACTTTTTAAAAAATTAATGTATAATGCATTATTTGTTTCAGTGGCACAGGTCTGTGAGTCATCAGTCTTACACAATTCACAGCTCTCACCATAGCACATACCCTCCCCAGTGAAGGACTGGCCAGTTTTCACTCTCTAGGTTGCTCTCAGGATGTCCCTATTTCTCAAGCATGTGTGCATTAATTCCAAGGATACACATGCAGGACTGAAGTTGAACTGCCTTTTATGATAACAGTTTTTGCCACTATTTAGGAAGAAGCGATGTACCTATAACTTACATACCTATAAGAAGTGATGTAGCTCCAGTCCTTTTTTTCTTTTATATAGAATTAGGGACTAAGTTCCATCTTCATGGTTCCTGCACTTCACATTATTTACCTCGATCATGTCATCTTCAACTAATGAAGAATGTTAGTGTCTCTGAACCCTATGATGAATTGAGGCGATGGGAGTTTTGCTCACAAAGGCACTGGGCTTTCCATGAATGCTCCTTAGAGGGAAATGTGCCTAATGAAGGGTGAGGCATTAGAACCACATCTCCAAACATTGCTATTAGAAGGAAGTGGCCTAAAATGTCTTGGTATTTTCTTTCATGAATTAAAACTTTATTCTAATATTTTGTCTAAAAATTTTAAATGCTTCTCTGTTCTTTCCTCCTGATGTATTTTCTTAAGGAAAAATAAGATTCCTTAAGAGATTTATGATAAGATGATAGTATTTTACTTTATAGTATTGAAATGTTTTCTTCCTAGACTCTAAAGTAGATTGTTTGGAACAATTTGGGCAAGAGGCAAATATGGCTATCACCCAAGATGATGATGTACTTTGTACTACTGAATATTCCCGGATTGTACCTTTGGAAAATGGTGAGGTAAGTTGATATGGGGAGAAGGGAGAGTTGAGATTCAAAATCAACACGAGGATATAAAATTGTGTATAATTGTGAAACTTGCACTTTCAAAATCTAAAATAGATCACAATAGAAACTAGAACTTGGAACTAACTAGTAAAGGAATCACATTGAAGACTCCCAGAATGAGTTGGGTTGGAAATTATTTTAAATTTTTAATTAAAAAAATTTTTTTTAATTAATTTTTTTTTAATTGAGGCATAATTGACATTGGAAATTCTATTTGAGCCCTCAACTTCTTTTCTGGACATCAAGATTCTGGATTCAAGGCCCACAGGTCTTGAACTATCTTTTCTGTTGGAATGTTTAGAAAGTTGGTTGCTGGTGATTGAGGTGATGACCCCTCCCACTGCTTCACAAATACATATCCCCCAAAAGAGTGAGGGGATGAGGGGTAGGTGATAGCACAAATCCCTGGTCCCTCCGGGCAGGGTGGACATCGTCTGTAAAGGAGAAAAGAATTGTCGTCCTTTTGGGGTTGCATTGGTCCCGGTAAAGTCAGTTAGGCTATTGTTATGTGACATGAGAAAAAATAGAATGGAGAAAATCAGAGAAGAATTCCATGGAAATTGTGAGGCCATCATGAGCATGAAGTGAGTTTCAAATGAACATCTTTAAGGGTGTCAGTGTCCCTGTTTTAGGTGAGGAGAACTTTCTTTCTTTCTTTTTTTTTTTTTTTGAGGAGAACTCTCTTGAGCAGTGCTAGCCAGTACCTTCCAGTGATTGATGAGTGTCCCTAATTATTGGCACTTAGACTTTATCACTGAAAGCTTTAAAATGAAAACTGGATTTTATATAGTTTTTTTTTTTTGTCCTCTCCACAGTCAACTCTATATGTAGAGACTTCTTTTCTTCAACCTCATTTAGGTTTTTAGATAACTTTAGCTTTATTTCTATGATGTAACCAAAAGTTGTTTTCTTATATTTATAGATTTTAACATTATATTTTCAGCATTTCATAGGATTTCCACCCCATAACACCCCTTTCCTCCTCCTCTTCCTCCTCCTCCCATAACTATACTGATAGAACAAAGGGTATGAAAAAGAAATTATAACATTTTTTGAGAGCCCAGGTCTTAGGGAGAGACTGCCAGAGTTTGGAACTAGGAACAAGAAGGGAAGACCGAACTAACGGATATTTTTAGACATAAACAAGATCCAAGACCACCAACAAACATCTAATGGCTCGAAGAAACCAAGTGCTTTGGGACATGTGAGTTATTTTTAGTTACTCGTGGCTATATTTTCATGAAGGGACTTTTTTCCCCCTGTGTGTATTGTGTGGTTTTTAGGTTGTGGTGTCCTTGATAAATGGTCGACCAGGTGCAAAAAATTTCACCTTCTCTCACACCCTGATGGAGTTCACTAAGGCTACAAACATCCGCCTGTGTTTTCTGCGAACCAATACCCTTCTTGGACACCTCATCTCCAAAGCACAGAGAGATCCAACGGTTACTCGGCGGGTAAGTAGTGTTTCTACGCGTATACAGGGCAGTTTTTGTTACCTGTTTTTGCTTATCAAATTAATTACCTTTCAAGTAATCTTTACGGCCAATAATAGTGTAGGAACAGGAGTTGTTCTTGTACAAAATACTAGATGTAATTTTGAAGTTCCGTTGTAGAAAAATCACAATATTCAAAGAGGATGAAAGACAAAGATCAGTTAGTCTGCTATTATAACAAATAACCCCAAGTCTCAGAGGCTTAACAAAATAAAGATTAATTTCTCACTCATGTCACAGCCCAGTGTGGGTCAGCAGGTGGGATCAGCTCCATGTGGTCATTCAGGGAACCAGGCTCTTTCTATCTAGAGGTGCAGCCATCCTGTAGGACCTCAAAGTCCTCCTTTAGATCCCCTGCACATGGTCAGTAGATGAGGAAAGAGTAGAACCTAGAGAAGACCCACCAGCTCCTGATCACACAGGTCACCTCCGTTGGCAGGAATTGGTGGTGTAGCAGCAGGCTGGGTAATGAAATGTCGCTACAGTGGAGAAGACATTTTGGTGAGCACCAGTGCTGTCTACTGCATTAGGTGAACATTTATCACTCTGGGTCAGGACAGTACCCGTGTCTCCTGGGCAGAAGGGGAGCCAGCAGATTAAGTATCTTGAGCTCACTCTTCTCCTACCTTTTGATGTCCTACTGGTGTCTCCCATTGGCCAAACCCAATGTGAAGCCAGTGGGCAAGACATCCTTGTTGCAGTCCATGAAGTTCAGGCCATGAGGAAAAGACAGAAAGAGAAAGATAAAGGGGTTCCTGGAGAGTGGACCTGGAAGGGTGAATAGAAGATGCCCAGTGCACCTTGTAGAGTTTTGCTTCCTCTGTAGGTGTATCAGAGAGTTGGAAGAGGAAGGCAAACAGAAAAGTAGATTTTGCTACAGTTTTGAGCATTTTCCAGAAAGGCCACTCATCTTGGGTGTAGGTGGCCTATCCTCTACATTTTCTGTCCCCTTAGCTCTTGCTGAGCTGCTGTAGGTGGTGACTACCTTGGATCCCAGAATGAGAAAGCTGGGCTTTCTGGTAAGTTGTAGCCAGACAGGGTTTCCACTACCCAGATATTTTGGAGCCTTGGCACATATATGCCTCACCGCCTCCCCCCCCTTTCATTGTTTTTTTTTTGGGGGGGGGTTTATAAGATTTGTAATTGTATGTATATTTTTCATTTAGGTGAACGTAGTCTTCTCTGTAAAGTAAGTTTTTATGGGGCTCATCTCACATATAATCTGGAGACCCCTCATCCCAATCTAGGTTGTTTCTTTAAGTGAAGAAACAGCATACCAGCTATCCTGTCACACCCTCATTATGCTCTGGGGTGAAGTGTGGGTGCTTCTCTCTCTTGCTGCTGCTGCCCTTAACACATGCACAGAGAGAAAATTCTATGGTGATTAGCATGAGAGCTTCTAGTGTTAACTTGACATAGAAAGTCCTCTAATACTGAATTTATCCATATTAACAAGAGGGGTTGTGGGGGGCCTGGGTGGCTCAGTGGGTTAAAGCCTCTGCCTTTGGCTCAGGTCATGATCCCAGGGTCCTGGGATCGAGCCCTGCATAAGGCTCCCTGCTCAGAGGGGGGTCTGCTTTTCCCTCTCCCCCCTGCCTGTGCAAGCTCTCTTTTTCTCTCTCTCAAATAAATAAATAAAATCTTTAACAAGAGGGGCTGTTAGTGTCTTCAGACTAAGTAAGATGTTGCCAGGACCCTTAGACTCTAACAGTTTTTAGTGTGGAATTCAGAACAGAACCCTTACATTGAGTGAACAGAGGGCTTTAAGGTGTCGGATTACAGCAACAACAACTAAAAGATAAAAAAAAAAAACCTTGTTGCCTTGTGAGGTCAAAGACCTTCTCGCCGACAGGTGTTCTTCTCATTGGTAGCCTTCTGTGCCCTCCAGATTTCTCTCTGGGTTCTGTGCATTTGCCAAGTCTGGGAAGTAAGGGAGCTGGTGGACACTGCCACCTGTTGTTGCTAGCTGGAGATGTGCCTGCTGGATGACATGGTTTCCCATAGCTGTGGCTGGTGTAGGGGGTTGTTCTTCAGCTGAGTTGGAAGCTCGCTCTGTCTGGCCCTTTGGAAGTTGTACTCTGCCTTTTGCCTTATTAACCTTGAGCTAGCAAGTCTTCTACAATTGCTGGTGAGCCCTGCCAGTGTCAGCCTTGTATCTGCTCCCTCATTGTAAATATTTTCTCCCTTACCTGGAGCCTGCCCATAGTAGGTGCAAAATTTGATTAAAAAATTTAGTTTTGGTAAAAAAAAATTATTTTTGGATTTATGGAACCCAGATTTACATTAAAAAGAGTAATCTGGGGATCACTTAACCCTTTTCCAAAGACTATTATAAGTTTTGCCCGTTTTCCAAGCAATTTCCTTCCATGCATTTAAAGCATTTGACTTTTAAAAATGCACAAGCTTGGTAGTATGAGATTACATTTGATTGAGGAATGCATTTACTTTGTAAGAGAAGTTGCATCCCAATGTGTTAAGGTATGCCCAAGAATACAGGATGAAAGGGAAGAGGGTCAGTGCAGACCTGAGTTACAGGTTAGTAAAGCAGAGTTTGTTGCTCTTCAGTAAAACTGACATTTCCGTCTTCTGTTAAATAGTATTATTACAGCATAAAGGATATCAGCATCGGTGGGAGGTGTGTTTGCAATGGCCATGCCCAAGACTGCAATGCAAACAATCCTGAAAAATTGTAAGTACATTGTACACATTTTTTAGCCTTGCTGTGAATAAGTCTCATTGTTTCCGTAGAGGTTTGCATCCCATTAAATATCTCTAAGTTCTTGCCCTCACTAGAAATGTTTCACTGTCAACAAATAAATGGCATGTATATATCTCCCCTCCTCTGGCCCTGCCCTTGGTTCCACATGCTCCATCCAGCCTGTAGCAGACATGGCTAATCAATCACAGTGCTCAGTGGATGATCTAGGATGCAGCCACCAAATCCTCCCAGCCCCCCATCCCCAGACTGTGCCCCTGGCAACCGTAAGTAATTGATTAGAGTTGGCAAGAGGGGTGGGGGGAACTTGTTTGTCATCCCTGGTCTAATAATACCAAAGGGTATACATTTTCATTATTTTTTTTTCATTGTGGTAAAATGCACATGATATAAAGTTTACTATGTTAGCCATTTTTTTAAAAGATTTTATTTATTTATTTGACAGACAGAAATTACAAGTAGGCAGAGAGAGAGGAGGAAGCAGGCTCCCCGCAGAGCAGAGAGCCTGATGTGGGGCTCGATCCCAGGACCCTGAGACCATGACCTGAGCCGAAAGCAGAGGTTTAACCCACTGAGCCACCCAGGCGCCCCTATGTTAGCCATTTTTAAGTGGTAGTGGTTTAAATTCAGTAGGGTTAAGTACATTCTTATTGTTGTGCAAACTCTCTCCAGAACTCATTTCATCTTGCAAAATTGAAACTCTAGTCTGGTTGAACAGCAGCTCCCCACTCTTTTCCTTTCCCAGCTCCTGGCAACCACCGTCCTCTTCTCTCTCAATTTGACTACTCTAGGTATTTCATAGAAGTGGAAACACACGATATTTGTCTTTTTCAACTGGTTTCTTTCACTTAACATAATGTTCTCAAGGTTCATCTACATTGTAGCATGTGTTAGAATCTCCTTTTTTAAGGTTGAGTAATACTTTATTATGTATATACCATATTGCCTATCCATTCATCGGTGGATGGACTTTTAGGTTCCTGTCACCTTTTGGTTATAGTGAAGGATGCTGTTATGAACATGCCCATTTTTGTTTTTTATTGAGGTCTACTTTACATACAATAAGATGCGCGGATATTAACTACTAAGTGTTCAGCAACCGTATACACTCGTGTGATCAACACAAGAGGGACCTCTTGTGGCTGGAGATGACTGGATGTGAGATACAGCAGTAATCTCTTAATGTCTTGTTTAGAGTCTATGATTCCCCAAGTGCAGCATTGATAGGAGATGTTTTACTGTTAACCGGATGAGGTTTATACATTATTGGGCCTCACGTTCAGGCACAGGGGCCAGCTACCAACTTACATGGTGTGGAGCCCGGTCCCTGACCAGCAGCAGTCCCTAATGTCGTCAGCCCTCCTTCGGGGGGTCCGGCCATGCTGGGATAGCAGCATGAATCCAACAACGGACTAGCCTTTAACTGGCAAGCACTAGTTTATTCATGATTAATCTGTCATCTCCTGGAGGGTAGGGCCTTAAGATCAGAGAAGTCCTGAGCTGGAGAGAGAGGGGGCAAAAGAGAGTCTAATGTCCCTTAGCCTGAGACAAAATGGCACCATGTGGGAGAGGAGTTGAAGTCATTGGAGAAGGTCTGAGCTTCCTGTGTAGCAGGGCTGGCATGCCCTGTTGACCTTGGCAGACCTGGAGGGGTTCCATACTGGGTGGTACAGAGTGAGAAACCACAGTGAGTAGAGAAACTGTCTCCTCTTGTCTCAGTTTACACCAACACAACAGCCTTGCCTCACACTGCTTGTTGGTTCACTTCTGCCCAACAGGTTTATTCATGCAAATGCTGAGGAAATCCACACCCATGAATAGGAAAAAAAATCTTAAAATTAAAAAAAATTTAGTTTCAGGGGCACCTGGGTGGCTCAGTGGGTTAAGCCTCTGCCTTCAGCTCGGGTCATGATCCCAGGGTCCTGGGATCGAGCCCCACATCAGGCTCTCTGCTCAGCAGGGAGCCTGCTTCCCTCTCTCTCTCTTCCTGCCTCTCTGCCTACTTGTGATCTCTGTCAAATAAATAAATACATAAATCTTTAAAAAAAATTAGTTTCAAAGGTAGAATTTAGTGACTCATCAGTTGCATATAACACCCTGTCCTCATTACATCAAGTGCCGCCTTAATGCCTGTCACCCAATTATCCCTTCTCCCCATCCCTCTCTGCTCTAGCAGCACTCAGTTTGTTTGCTAGAGTTCAGTGCTTCTTATGGTTTGCCTCCTTCTCAATTTTCATCTTCCTTTTTTTCTTCCCTTCCTCTGCTCATCTGTTTTGTTTCTTAAATTCTACACATGAGTGAATCATATGGTATTTGTCTTTCTCTGACTGACTTATTTTGCCAAGCATAATACCCTCTAGTTCCACCCACCTCATTGCAAATGGCAAGATTTCATTCTTTGTGATGGCTGAGTAATATTCCATTGCCTATACGTATACCACATCTTCTTTATCCATTCATCTGTCGATGGATGTCTGGGCTCTTTCCATATTTAGGCTATTGTGGACACCGCTGATATAAATATTGGGGTGCAGGTACCCCTTTGATTCACTGTGTTCATATCCTTTGGATAAATACTAAGTAGGACAGTTGCTGGGTTGCAGGTAGCTCTATTTTCAACTTTTTGAGGGACCTCCATGCTGTTGTCCAGAGTGGCTGCACCAGCTTGCATTCCCACAAACAGTGTAGGAGGGTTCCCCTTTCTTCCTATCCTCGCCAACATCTGTTATTTCCTGTCTTGTTAATTTTAGCCATTCTGACGGGTGTGAGGTGGTATCTTATTGTGGTTTTGATTTGTATTTCCCTGATGCCGAGTGATGTGGAGCATCTTTTCAAGTGTCTATTGGCCATTTGTATATCTTCTTTGGAGAAATGTCTGTTCTTGTCTTCTGCTCATTTCAGAACGGGGTTGTTTTGGTTTTTTGAGTGTTGAGTTTGATAAATTCTTTATTGGTTATGGATACCAGCCTTTTATCTGATAAGATATTTGCAAATATCTTTTCCCATTCTGTAGGTTGCCTTTTTGTTTTGTCGACTGTTTCCTTTGCTATGCAAAATCTTTTTATTTTGATGAGGTCCCAGTAGTTCATTTTTGCTTTTGTTTCTCTTGCCTTTGGAGACATGTCTAGCAAGAAGTTGTTGGGCCAAGGTCAAAGGACAAAAATCTTATAACATATTTAAGGGGATGCAGTGACTTAATGGAGGGAGCAAAGGCTGGCAATCAGAAAATTTAGTTGCTAGCCAAGTAGAACCCATGAAGAGGCAGAAGAGGGCTTGAATTAAGCATGTCTACTGTGATGACTTGGTTCATGGAAATGTGGATGGATCACAGATTTAATTCTGAGCTTCCTAGCAGTCAACTCAAAAGGGGAAACCTGCCTACTTTCTTATTTCACTATACTCATAATCTAAAAAGTGATCAGTTGTTTAGGAGCATGACTGATGACACTAGGATCAGGTAAGAAATTTCTCTGGGAGTGCTGTGAGGTGATCACCAGGAAGTGGATTCTCTAGTCAGCAACTTCTTCAATAACATCCTTACAGCAGAGGCAAGGATGAGTTTTCTTTTCTTTTCTTTTTTTAAAGATTTTATTTATTTATTTGACAGAGAGATAGAGAGCCCAAGTAAGCAGAGTGGCAGGCAGAGGGAGAGAGAGAAACAGGCTCTCCACTGAGCAGCGAGCCCGATGCGGGTCTTGATCCCAAGACCCTAGAATCATGACCCAAGCCGAAGGCAGAAGCTTAACCAACTGAGCCACCCAAGCATCCCAAGGATGAGTTTTCTGTTTCAACTATCAGCCTAGGCTGAGAATGAATCAGAAAAAGCAATTATTTGTGGGTGATACCAGTATGATTCAAACTAGTACCCATCTTTCTTTTTCTGCCTTCAATTTTAATCTTTCTGTGAGAGTAGCTGGACCCTATGTTCTTCAAGCAATATTCCCTAAATAATTATTTCAGTTCAGTTTATGCATATGCTTTATTGGCAACAAGCTGAAGTAGTCTCTCTGACCAAAGTCCATTTGGATGCCAGCTGTTCTGTGCTCTCAGTAAAATCTGTGTCCGTTTGCCTTAACAGGCAGCTGAGCTGGGAGACGCAACACCTTCCCTTTGGAGTGTAACTGAATATATGCCATCCTCCCAACCCCCCTTAGAAGAGTTGATCAAATCACCATAGGCACAGCCTTAGACAACTGTTTTGAATCCTCTTTTAAAAAAGCACAGATAAGTGAGAACTCAGCACTTGGGGGTTCTAACCCAGTGCCATGGCAACAATTTCATTTTAACCTGGAATGGTTTTAGTGCAGATGTATAATTGCAGGTAGATTTTTGTATTGTTCCCTCTCTGCCTAGCTGAGTAATCTGTTTTTGGCCTTGCAAGGAGCTGTTTGTTGGAGCTGGGGCAGCATCCTGGAACAGGGTCCTCTGAGATCTTGTTAGGAACTGGCTCTCGGGTTTGGTGAATCTCCATGCATGACCCCAGGCTGAGAGCAAGAGACCTGAGCAGACCTTCCTCACAGGACTGCTCCAGATCTTCGGGAAGACGTGATACCCAGCACTTCCCAGTAAACTCAGCACTTGCTTGCTCCCGTGTTCATTTTCCTGTTATGGAAGGTGGTAGAGAAGAAAGATCTGGAACTCTGGAGTCAAGACAAACTTAGGTTTGAAGTCTGGGTCTCCACTTACCATCACCTGACCTTTGGCAGATGTTTTTGTGTCTTGGAATCTCAGTGTCAGCATCTATACAATAGAGACACTAAGCAGGATGAGAAGGAGACTTGGACTAATAATGTATGCAAAGTGCTTTGTTCTCATAATTGCTACATGAATGGTGCCTTTGACTGTCAGTGTCTCATCCAGGAACAAATGATCTTAATCAGAACTTTTGAATAACTGAGATGTGCTTGGCCACATGCCCAGGTTTCAGTGTGAGTGCCAGCACCATACCTGTGGGAAGACGTGTGACCGCTGTTGTGCTGGGTACCACCAGAGGCGCTGGCGACCCGCCACGTGGGAACAGAGCAATGAGTGTGAAGGTGAGCGCTGGGGGAGGAGCGCCTGTGACCGAGGCCCCGCCCACGCTTCCCTTCCATTCTCCCTGTCCGGGAGCAAGGGTGGGGTGGTGGGGGGGTGGGGGTGTAGGGGGGTGGTGTCTTGTCAGTCTTAGGGACTCAGGTCTGTCTATTGTAAGGAAAAACTCACAGCCTGGAAGTAAAAGGGCCCCATTCTAAATTTCAGATACAAATAGGAGAACAAAAATAACAGCAGTAATAATCACTAATATGTATTAAGCATTCATTTAATGCTGGCCTCTCTCTTTTTAGTAGTCTAAAATATCATGTAGCCACTATTAAATTGTAAACCCTTACCATTTATTACGAGGTAATACTGGATCAGAATCCTAACTCTTGTGAGGAGGGAGGCCCGGAGAAGGTTTTGAGATCGGTATCTGAACAGAGAGCTGGAAGCGTTGATGTGGAGGGTGGGAGGGGGTAGGGAGGGGATACTGCAGTGGGATTGAGGTGGCTGCAGGGTAGAGGGGACCTGAGAAAGAAGGAACAAAGGTGAGAGGCCGCTTTTAATTATAGTGTAATATAAAGTAAGAAGACTGTTATTTTTAAACAAATAAGCCCTAAGAGATCCAACTGAAGATTCCCTTGTAAACTGATCTTAGGAAGCCACATACTTACTCCAGTTGCTGAAAATACTTTTGTTTTAGTTATTGGCTTTGGAGACTGCAGCCTATTTGTTCCAAATAATTTGGAGAGGGATTTACTTTCTTTAAACGACCAAAATATCATTTGGATGCACATTTGTTGAACTAGGAGATGTAAGAAGGAATGTCTATTTAACACTTGTTGGCCAAATGGTTTTTGTAACTCAGAGATGAGACTGATATGATTTCTGTGACTAGCAAAAACTCAAAAGGATTTTTACAGAGGAGTTCTAAGGGCACTTAGATTCTGACACTGTCTCAAGGTGTTGATGTTGCCCGAGCTGAATGGACAGGTATATCTCTAGGTCCAGGGATGTTGGCTGGTTGGCTGTTCTCACTTTATAGTCATAGCTAAGGGGTTCTTTCTCAGGGACTTCCCCATCCCTCCCCCAGTAGAATAGGACCAGAAAGAAGCAAAGGTAATAATCAGGAATTATTTCTTCCAGTGCTTTTGAATACCCATTTAGGCTATTTTGATTGAATGAATGTTATCACACGAACTCCAACATTAGCAGTTTATGTTAGTGGAAACTTTCAGTGAATGACATGTTTAACTCCAGCACATAGGAAAATTTAAAAAATTTCCTTTCATTAGTGTTAAGCTTTTTGCGCTTGTCAAAGTGATTACAAATGACAAAAAAAAAAAACCAGCATATGGTAATCAGACCCATTAAGATCCATTTGTTAAGTGCTTTCTCAATTCCATTTGAATTAGCACAATTCAAAAATGAATGTGTTTCTTGAGAAATAACCAGTGTAGTTAATATAAATGCCTTGAATTCTTTAAAATCATGGCACCACACTGGAGAAATGAAAATAGGAAGGTGCTCAGCCTGTTACAAAAAGAACAACTTGAAATTCTAACTCACTCTTCTTCCCTAATAGATTTATCTGGGAATTTGATTATAAAACATACAAATTACTAGAAAGACCTGGAAATTTTTATCTGCATCGAATGCAATGAATATATATTCTCTCTAAAAGAGAATAAGAATTTCACTCATGTTAGATCTTTTTCATCTTGGCAATGATGAAAATCCTAGATGGCTTTTAAATTTTATTTTCAAATTTTTAATTATTATACATTGTTTGTATGTTGCGGCTGGCACGACAAATCGACCAGGAATGTGAGGGTAAGAGGATGAAGAAAAGAACTCGAGAAGCAGAGAGATGGGGGCAGGAGGAGCACTGAGGAGGATGTCCAACAGTGCTAAGTTTATTCAAAGCATTAAGGCCATATATACAGTGATATTACAATAGGAGAAGCAATACATCTGTGTCTAGTTAAACAACCACGAGTTCCCATAATAAGTTTCACATTCGACTATAAGCAGACCTCATGATGCCAAAAGGCTGATGCCAGTACAATTGTTCTGTATTGATACAGCAAACCTGAAAGTAATTTATGGGCTGTACTAGGGCAGCAAGGACCAGCCATGAACTTATGACCCCAACCGAATTGTTCTCATTTGTTTAGCAAGCATGTGGGAAGTCACGTAGGCGAGCGCACAACACATAGCACAGACCCTTTCTCAGTGCTCCTCAACTTTTCCCGTCCTAAACCTTTTGTTAGGTTATTCGGATTAAAGGAGGCACAAGTCAGGGCCTGGTTTGGTCCTCGTCTCAAGCCTTATTGCGGCCTCCCACATTTGTAGATAACTTGGACATTATTTAAAAAAAGTAAAGGGTCTCCTGGGTGGCTCAGTGGGTTAAGGCCTCTGCCTTTGGCTCAGGTTATGATCCCAGGGTCCTGGGATCGAGCCCCACATCGGGCTCTCTGCTCAGCAGGGAGCCTGCTTCTTCCTCTCTCTCTGCCTGCCTCTCTGGCTACTTGTGATCTCTGTCTGTCAAATAAATAAAATATGTAAAAAAAAAAATTATTTAAAAAAAGTAGAACCACCAGTAATTTTGTTATTCAAAGAGAACAACTAATATTTTGTTAGGCATTTTAGTGTTTTCTTTTTGTATACTCTAATATTATTATTTAATATATATTAGATTATTTATGTAATTACTTATGCAATTATTTATACAATTTTATATCCTGTTCTTTTTCACTTGGTATTTTAGATATTTTCCCATTTTATTAAAACCCCTTTAGCATCGTTTTGATGGCATGGTGTAGTCATTCTGTGGAACCAAGGGTATCCAGCAAGTGTTTGCTGGAGTATTCACTATGTGCTGGGGACTGGGTTCTACTGCGAACAAGACACAAGCTGCTCCTGCCTTCATAGAACTGACAGTCAAGCAAAGATGCTGTTGTTTGTTTACCATTTCCCTAGTATCAGACTTTGGGATTTCCAGGTTTTGAAAAAGACTTTATTTATCTGAGAGAGAGAAAGCATCAGGGGGAGGGTCAGAGGGAGGAGCAGACTCCCCACTGAGCAGGGAGCCCAATGTGGGACTCGATCCTGGGACTCTGGGATCATGACCTGAGCCCAACCAACTGAGCAACCCAGGCCCCTGATTATTTCCAGTTTATTGCTATTGTAAATAGAGCTGAGATTTTAAAACAAACAAACAAAACTTGGAGTATTAGCTGAGAGAATTGGTTTTGGAGTCAAATATAAGTTGGGATTCTGCCTTTCTTACTAGAGATATGCTTTAACCTCTCGAAGCCTCAGTCTCCCCATTTGGGCTCTGGGGATAATAGTACCTACGTTAGAGACTTGTTGCATGGATTCAATGAGATAATACACAGAAAACACTTTTCACAGTGTACCAAGAGCCCAAGTATTCTTGTTAATAATAGTAATAACAGTAGAAGTAATATTCTCATTGTGCATGAAGTCTAATAGGGATTTTGGTATATCTTAATTTGCTGTTAAAAGAAAAGAAATACACACACACACACACACACACACACACACACATATGTTGTAATTATATATATGTATTTAAAGAGAAACCTCTCCCATTTATTATCAGATGAAAAAAGTTGTTAATCACATATTGTTATAGATGAATCTTTGTGTAAAAATCCCTAAAATTTTCCACTGAGAATATGGTGTTCCACAATACACTTAATAAAGTGGCACAATGAATGGTAATACTCTCTAGGGGAATTTGCAAAATGTCTCATAGTAATGATGGAATATTAACTTAGAATGCCTTTTTCAGCATGCAACTGCCATGGTCATGCCCTTGACTGTTACTATGACCCAGATGTTGAGAGGCAGCAGGCCAGCTTGAATATCTACGGCATCTATGCAGGTGGAGGGGTCTGCATTAATTGTCAGGTGAGTCACTATTTAGGTCAAAGTGAATATGTCACTGTATGGAAAGGAGCATTCATTAAGCCAAGCTCCCAGGGAGATGTTAATAAAGTGATATGCAATTGAGAGTATTTCTGTGAATATTTCTCTACTTTTGTACACAAAAGTCCTTGTTAGCTGGGTATAAAAATGGACTGAGACATCTTTGTCTAGATTCTGTTGATTAGATTCTTCATTTAGGTCTTTGCCTAAATAGGGAGGAGAGTCCCTCACTGTCACTCAGGATGCTATTTATCTTGTAGTAAAAGGGTCTAAGATAGTAGGGCAAATAAGTGTCAACTTCTGTGCTGATCCTAAATCCTGTTTTCAGACAGATTCTGAATCTAGACTCCATGAGGAGGTACATCATGATCAATTAATGAAGTCTGCCATTGACATTTAGTAAGAAACACTGATTTTTCATCCCTTCTGTAGAACAGTTAGGTTCACTAGAAATTAGTCAAGAGGAATGTATGATAGAGGAAGAATGTATGATAGAGGAAGATGTAATGCTCATGACTTTGGTCCATATTTACTCTGTGTTGTGTGCTCTCAGAGTGATGTTTTGTTAATGTTACCATTAAAAAGGTGCTTTTTTCAAGAGAAGCCCATTTATATGGAAGCACCATTAAAAAGCTCTTTTCAGGAGATGCCCATTTATATGGAATAGCTTCAAATTCTTAGAGACCCACCATCTTCCACCTTTCTTCCAGTCCATTTTGTATAATTTGTCAATGCAAGTAATTAAACTACAAGTAAAATATAAGTCATAAGTTCCTTACGAATGACAGAATTCGTGCACAAATGAAAGATCCCAGGATCTTAAGACTGCGCTCTTTAAGACCCTCAGGTGATTCATAGGCACGTTTAAGTTGCAGAAGCACTGGGCTGGAATGTGTACATAGAATCCTTTCTCCAGATGAAGGAGTAAGCCACTTCAATGTGTCTTTAAAATATCTTATTCCTCCTCTTCCTTCTCTCAGAGATACTCTGTTTTATACCTTGCTGTTTCTGAAAAGCATCAATATAGTCCTTTTTTGCATAGTGTCTCTGTGAAAGCATTTTGTTTTGTTTTGTTTTGCTTAGGAAATTATTGAAATTTGTTTAGGTTCATTGCATTTTTTTCCAACTTAAAATGCCTTATTTAATTAACTTAAATTTTTTTATTGTGGTGAAATATACATAGCATAAAATCTACCATTGTAGCCATTTTAAGTGTATATCTCTGCATAATTAACTGTTATATTATATTCATAATCCATGAATAAGTAGAGAATTCTGCCTCTGTTATGGCTTAGGACCTCCAACTGGATCCAAACTTTCCACAAATAATAACTATAGACTATAGACAAAATACAAAACAAAAAACCAGGAAGTCCCCTTTCCCCCAACCAATGATCTGAAGGCACTGGGGAGTACATATGGACAGGAAGTTTCCGGAGGGAAGCTGCTACTTGGCAAAAAGGATCAGTGTAGGGTGAGCTACATGTGTTTTTGACTTTTAGCCAGAGGACAGACCAAAGTTGGTGCCTTGTGGTATAACTAAAATTCCTCTAGAAAATCTAGGGTCTTTCTGCCATGAAGTACAAGAGTTTAGACCTTGGATGGAACAACCACAACTTTTGGAGAGTGACTAGGGAGTCCAGGAAAAAAGAAATCAAAAGAGAAAAAAAATCCCTAATTCTGTGTATAAAATCTTCCCAAGTTTCTTGCTGACCCCTGAGCCATCTACTCACAGATTGGCAAAGGCAAAATAATTTATATGAAATTTAAATTAGCACACAGAGTTACAGTTTTCAGTTTGGGTAAAATCAAGTTAATTATGTCATAAAACTAAACAAATCCAATATTCTTGAGAAGAATATTACAGAACATAATACTTATTATGTCTCTACAACATAATATTTATTATGTCCAGGATATCAGCCAAAATTTTTTGACACTTGAAGAACTAAAAATTGTGACCCATTATCAAGAAAAAAGATAATCAATAGAGACAATCCTGAAATTACCTAGGTGTTGAAATAAGCAGTTAAGGATATCATAACTTTGCTTGAGAATATAAATAAAAATATGTTCACAATAAATGAAAATATAAGAAATATCAGGAGAAAACTAGAAATTATAAAAGACTTAATGAAAATTCTAGTACAAAATAAGTACAAAATATATTATGTTAGATTATGGATGGGGCTAATATCAGAATGGAGGTAATAGAAGAAAGATTCAGTAAATTTGAAGATATATCAATAGAAATTATCCAGTCTTAAGAAAAGAAAGAAAAATATTAAAAAAAAATTAATAGAAACTTGCAAACTTGTGGGACAATGGCAGAAGACCAACATACATGTAATTGGGGTTCCAGAAGAGAGGAGAGAGAATGTGGCAAAAAAGGAGGAGGAGGTAGAAAGAGGAGGAGGAGCCAGAGAAGCAGAAGCAGAAGCAGCAGGGGTGTTGGTAGCAACAATGGCAAGAAATTTGTCAAATTTTTCAGTAGATTAGGATTCAAGAAACTTAGTGACTCCCAAGCCAGATAAATACAAGGAAAACCACTCCTGGGCCTAGCAGGGTCAATCTAACAGGGTCAAAGAAAAAGTGAAAATTTTGAAAGTAGAGAAAAACAACACATAACTATGACTGTGAATTTATTAGAAACTGCGGAGGCCACAAGACAGTGGAACATACCTTAAATGTGCTAAATTAAAAAAAAAGAACGGACTATTAACCAAGATTTCTATATTTAGCAAAAATAGCCTTTGACAAGGAAAGCAAAAGGACAAATGTTTCTGATAAAATCAAACTGAGAGAATGCGTTACCCAAGATATTTGAACCACCAGAAATGGCAAAGGAAGTTCTTCAGGTTATAGAGAAATGATATCCCATGGAAAGTCTCACCTTCAGCAATATAGCATAAGGATAGTATATTAAGATGAGTAAGGTTTATCCCAGGAAAGCAAGGTTGATTGAACATTTGAAAATCAATCAGCAGGCTGAGGAAAATGGTGGAGTAGGAGGACCCTAGCCTCACCTCAGAGCACGGATATAGCCAGAGAAGACTCACAGCAGTGTAAGTAACTCAGAAAGCAAACTGAAGACTGGCAGAATAAACTCCACAACTAAGTGTAGAGAAGAGGTCGCACTGGAAAGGGTAGGAAGGGCAGAGACAGGGAAGTAAATGCACTCACAGGACTGTCAGTTGTTGGTGGGGTGTGGTAAGGACACCTGAATCCCCTCTAACATTTGGCTTTGAAAACTAGAGGGGTTGGATTTTGTGAGTTCTTACAATCAGCAGGACTTAAAGCCTGGAATTAAAAAAAAAAAAATCAGTAGGTTCTGTTCTGGGAGTGCCAAGGGCAAGAGGAAACTGAATCCCTGCCCTTAAAGAGCACAGCAGTCTGTGGAGTTACAGCATAGAAGCAGCAGTCTGAAAGGCGCCTAGGGCATGTGGGAGGGAGAGTGATTTACTCATCTCAGAGCCTGTCCAGGAGGCTGACAGAATTACTGGGGAACTCCTTCATGAACAAAGAAATTGGCAGGCGCCATTTTTCTCCCTTGGCCCCCAGTGTAAACACATAGGCCCCCGAGGGACTGGCTACCTAACTTGCTAGCACTGCAGCCCCCACCCTGCCCCTCTGCCATGCTGTGTTTTCATCAGTCCATCCCTCTGGACAGCCCACCTCAGTCTGGCATGGTAGGGCCCCTCTTGTACCAGCTGGGGATGAAAGGCTTTTTGGCACCACCACCTAGTTGCCACACCCACCCTGTACTATGCTTCCATGGATCCACCCCTTTGGATGGTGCCTCAAACCCAGTGCTGCAGGGCTCCTCCTATAGAGGACAGGGGAGCACAAAACTTACTGTCACTGTACCCCCCACCCCACACTTGGCTTCTGTGGAGCCAGATGGTCTGCTTTAGTCCTGATGCCGCAGGGCCCCTCTCATGGCATGCAAGGCTTGCTAGCACTGCTCCCATACTGTGCTTTGGGGACTCTGCCCCCTCCAATACACTTTTGGCCAGAGCCCCTATAGGATATAGGCTTGGCAGTAGGCAAGCAGCATCTACGATGGCCAGCACCACTCCAAAGTAACTCTTACCTTGGAGACAGGGAAAGATAACTACACACATCAGTCAGATGGAGGGCCCAGCAATGGCCTGCTGTGACTGCAGGCCCTGCCTACCAGTGGAAGCTTCTCATGGGGCAACACAGGGATTTGGTGCTGTTGCATCTCTGGCAAATTCCTGGTCTTACTCAACTAGCTCAGGGTGGTCCCAGACTGGCCCAATAACACCACCAGGACCAAACTGCCCAAAACAGCAAAGAGAGCCATTGCAGATGCCTGGGCTGAAGAAAAAAGCAACACAGCCACAAAAACAGGGCACATGCATCACACATAGGAGATACCCCTGAAGTGCCAGGTTCAGGTGAAAGGGGGACACTGCACTGCAGGGCAGTACAGAACCTCTTCTTCATAAGGCCATTACTTTCAAGTGTAGGAGAAGTAGCTGACTTTCCTAATACACAGAAATAGACAGAGTTCGATGAAATGAAGGGACAGAGGAATATGTCCTAAATGAAAGAATAGGACAAAAGATACACAGCAAGAGACCTAAGCAAAATGGATATAAGTAATATGGTGGATAGAGAATTCAAAGCAATGATCGTAAAGATGCTCATAGGACTTGAGAAAAGAGTGGAGGACATCAGTGAGACCCTTAACAAAGAGATGGAAGAAATTAAAAAGAACCAATCAGGGATGAAGAGCACAATAAATGAGATTAAAAATACACTAGATGGAATAAATAGCAGACTTGAGGAAGCAGAGGAATGAATTAATGGTCTGGGAGACAGAGTAATGGAAATTAATCAAGTTGAGCAAATGAGAGAAATGAGAATTATGCAAAGTGAGGATAGACCTAGGGAACTCAGTGACTCCATCAAGCATAATAACATTTGCATTGTAGGGATCCCAGAAGAAGAGACAG